GCAAATGACTAAGCATTTCGTGCGCCTGCGTCGTCGTGTATTTATCGACCAAATCCTCAACGCTCCCGCTGGCAACATTGCTGTTATCGTCGCCATTGCCGGCAGCCTGTGCTGACAAGTGCTGTAGCGTTAGCAACACGATTGTGGTGAGCGTCAGGCAAAATTGCAGGTAATGCATTTGTTTGTTTTATAACTTTTTTGGCTTAAGCGTTTGTTTGTTTGTTGTGTGTATTAGTTTCGTTTTGGTATTTTCTTTTACGCCCAACTTACTTGATAAGTTATTCTGCAGGATATGCTAGTTCCAATCGCATTTGTGTTTCCTTTCACCACGTTCTTTTTCAACGTATTTTCATGGAGTGTTTTATGTTTGTATTTTTCGCAGTATACACTTCTTCATTCATTGAATTTATGAATTTATGTCATTAAATATTTATCACCGGAAATGCAGACATTTCCACTATGTCGCTTCTTCAGCGCATTTTATTGCATTTGCCTGCACTTTATACGTATGCGATAATTTGCGCATTGCATACGCATTCATGCCACACACTATCAGTTGAGCTGCTGAGTAATGAAGAAATTAATAAATAAATAAACACTTATCACTGCACAAAATATATGTTGTTGACTGTTGCACTTTTTATTATATCTTTTTATTATATTCCTTTATATTACACTAAAATGCTTGCTGCTTATTTTATAAATTCAATAGCGCACATTTTCTGCATCAACGAATTTCAATTGTCACTTCTCGCGCAATTACCTAGCTTGTGTCATCGCGTCCTATGTGCCAATTAGTTTTTGTTGTGCATTGCTCATTCTCTACGCATTTTGACACTTGCCCCACTATCTATACGCACTCGCATCCCTACACACACTCGCCCGCATTTATCAGTTTCTGTGCCTGCACTCGTTGGCATATTTTATATTTTAATAACATCTAAATTCTTTACAGCATTCGTTATGCTTTCATACATACAGACATACACTTGTACATATTCGCTTGTTGACACTTGCTACAAGTTATAGCATTTGTTGTTATTTCATTCGTATATTTTGTGCCGGCACACAAACGCTGGCAATATGAGCGCACATTTCCCAATTAAATTTTTAATTGAAATTTGTCGCGGCATATTAAACGCTCTCATTCATTTGGATTTATGTGCATTTTTAATGACGAGTGTACATTTATTTCATCAAGCTAATAAATTTTGTGTGAACAAAATGCCGGCAGCCGATTTAGCATACGATGCAATGTAAACGAGTGAATAGCGATTAATTTCTATGGTGATGAACTCATCTCGCTGAACTATGATTATGAGGATTTAGCGCATGATGCAAAGAAATGTGTTATCATCATTATTATTGGAACAAATGCGTAACTTTTTGCGTTTACGTAAACAAAGTTTAGTAGTGCGGTTTAGGTGAAATTCGAATTTCGTTGGGCTTAAGTTAGAAAACAGTCAGAGAAAAAGTAGAAATTCGTTGAAATGTTGTGGTGGTGACAATGTTATTTGAAGGTCAAACAATTTAAAGTTACGGCTAAAACTAGCAAGCCAAATAAACTAATAGTGTCATCATAAGGCATGTATTGTCTCTTGATACCTAGGAAAGAGGTAGTGATACCACTAGTGTAGAAGATTGTGTTCTTTTTTATATTTTTAATCTGCATAGGGTACATTAAGTTTGCCACGAAATTTGTAATGCTTAAAAGGAAGTGTCGGATAACCTATAAAGTATATATGCATGTAGTATGTACATACATATACATACAAAGTAAAAATTAACAGTGTGAAGAGCCGAGTCGATGTCGCACCGCTCTGCGTGGGAAACTTTTTTATTTCACAAGACATCTGCAGCCCTATGGCACATACATACATATGTATCTGCCATACAAACTGAGCAATCAAAATTAAATTCTTGTATGGAATATTATTTTACTTGACAAGATGACTTCACGAAATTTTGCATAGATTATAGTTGTTGTTGTTGTAACGGCAGAATGCATAGATTATAGTCTAAGACAGCGCTACAATCTTCACGAATATTTCTCACATTGAGACCACTAAAGCATATAGCCATACAAACTGTGCCTTCAAAATCAAGATAAAAGACTTTACTCCCTTTTATGTTATAACAAATACACCTGTGAAGGGTATTATAGCTGCAGTACAGCCGATTCTAACCGTTTTTCTTGTTTTGGACTTCGTTTGCATATCCAACAAATAACGTAAACAACTCCGTCATGTCCTCACATGATTATACTATACATATCCCGCGATAATTTCACTGTCCACTTCTGCTCCAATACGCGACATCATTAATTAGTCCAATTGACCTCCATTTCGAAAGTCAAAATTTGAAATCAACAAAGCAACAAAAAGCAGCGTACAACAAACGGCACACGGAATGAGTAACGAGCGGCAGCAGCGAATACGGATAGACAACATAGTAAAAGCACAAAGGCAAACAGAAGCCAGAAGTAAAGCACTTGCGCACACCAACACACACACATACAATTGTGGAGATGGAGTAAAAAATGAGGCAGACGACAGCTGCCAAAAGCAAAGTCATTGAAAAGAGGGGCATTTTAGCTTGTTAAAGGAAGTCAACCACTGACAAATGAAAAAGAAATCTATTATGTGCTTTATGTGCGCAGAAAGTAGTAATTTTGTATGAGCATATGTACTTTACGTATGGTAATAGTGGGTGGTGGCACAGCGTGTTAGCGCGTTTGTAGTTTCCTGACCGTGTGTGGTAAGCGAGATTTGAGCGCACTTAAGGAAGATGCTTTTACCGGTATGTCTAGGCGGACGCTTTTATGTTTTATGAAAAATGGTAAACGCATGCTATTACATTACCTTTTTCCCACAGCACAAACAAGTGGGCGTAACTATGCGCATTGTTAACACGAGCACGCCAACGAAACCACGCTGCCACCCCCTGTGAGCACATCAAAGCAAATTCCCACACACAAATAAAAATGCCATACTTTGATGTTTCTAAATTGCACTCAGCGGTGAGCAAGTAAGAAGAACAAAAACAACAACTACAACAACTATATGCATGCATGTGCACGCATATAATGACGGTAAAAGTACAGCATGGAGATGCAAATAGCGGCACAGCGCGCTTACAAAGTGTAGCCGTTTTGACGCGCGCACGTTTGTATAGCACACTTTGAGGCGCGCAAACATGCCGCGCCAACACACACGCGCACGCCAGCAGCTATTGTGTCTCTCACTCTCAGCAAATAAATATGCTATATATATGTATATATGTGTGTGTGTATGCTGCACAACAAAGGCACACTTTTAAGGACACCGCGCGAGACAGAAGCCAAGCGCGTACCACACAGCCGCTTGTCAAAGGACGGCAGCCGTGCGCCGCTCGTCGGCACAACTCGTTGACAGATAAAACAAGCAAAGCAAAGAAATCCTCTGTGATGTTGCCGACGTCATACGGTACTTCACAGTGGAGCAGCAGCCACTAAGCAACACCGTCAACGCTCACCACCAGCGCCAACTTTGGCGCATCATTGCGCGAATTGGGGCAGTTGCCAGCACCCCCGAACCCCAATCAACTCATTTTATCACTCTTGTTATGCTATTTCACTATTACAACACTATTCGTACACTGACACTACTCAATGCTCTGCGGAGGGAAGACTTCCGGCGTAACGGTGAGAGAATGTACGTACAAGGTAAACTAGCGCACACAAAGCTTTTTGTGACAGACGCGCAGGTGGGTAGTGGTCTTTGAGAAAGACGTCAGCTCAGCGTATTGCGGTAACGATTACTCGTTACATTAATTATGTATGCATATATGTATGTATATATGCTGTGCATAGCAAACAGTCGTGAGGGGACATTATATCAAAGTCCCCGGTTATTTTCGCGCGCAAACGTTGAGTGCAGTTTAAAAGAAAAGTATACAAAAAAGTGAAAAATGGACAAACTATCAAAAAGGAGCCGCTGCACAGATTGCTTTTTGCATTTATATACCGTAAGTAATCCACAATTCATATGTACTTATGTATGTAAATACGTGTGTTTCCGTACACTTATGGCATGAATGTAATACCGGAAGCAAGGATGTACTGGCTAAATGTTATTTTTTTATCATTTATTTTTTTTTTTTAACTCACTTATACAACTTTGCGGAAGTAACACACTTTGCAGCGGAAAGGCAAAAAGCTCTCAATATTTTTTTACCACATATAATTTATAGAATTATATATATATGTATATATAAATATTTTTTTTTTTTTGTTTACTTCTATTTTCGATTTAAACACTGTTTCGCCAAATTTCATATGCAACATACAATTCCAAGCAAGTGAAACATTTATATACTCGCGCACATTTTGTTTCCGTCCGTCTACGCGCACTCGGCACCCATTTAATACGATTGATAAAAGCCAAATAATACGCTGCTGAGCAAAAGCGTAGTAAAATAGTTCGAAATATATACTACACTTTCATGCTAAAACGTAGTTTGGTATGAAAAAATTTCAAAGCAACACTAGCTAGTGAAGGAATTGGAGTTGCCATCTCAAGTGAAGTAGGGAGATAATTGAAATATTTACAAATACTTTTTGATCATACAAAGAAAGTATTTACAATGTGCACATTTTATAGTAAATATGCGTAAATTATATTAAATATATATACACAGCTTGATAGACGTAAAGTTGCATTAAAGTTCAATATTTAAGTTTCATATTCCTTGCAAAATTTTCAAATACTTATTATTAACGATATACTGTTTTTGCAGCTTTAACATTTTTTAATACTCCTACATTAACATATTTTCTATTCACAATCTTTAAATTTATAAAAAAATGAAATAAAATCAAAAAATAAACAATACTACTTCTTTGCATGCAAAATCCCTCAACTTGATCACAAAAATCCTCTACATTTCCACTGTCAAATAGCGCTATTGCTGCCGGCGCTGACGTAGTAGTTGTATTTGTTTTTCACCAATTTGACATTTCGCTGTCTAGCCGTTGTCGCTGTCGTCGTCGCCGTTGCCGTCGTTATCGCAGCTGGGTCTTCGTAGGTTGTTCGTCATTGATTTTTTATTTTTTCCAACGCAGTTCCGCAAACGGCAGTGAAAAAATTTTGTGTCTTTCAAATAAAATTCCCTAACATCATAATTTGTTGCAATTAATTGCAAATTTGTGGACAATTTGCAATTATGGGCGACAATGAGCAAAAGGCGCTGCAATTGATGGCTGAGGCCGAGAAGAAATTAACGCAGCAAAAAGGCTTTCTCGGTTCACTTTTTGGGTGAGTGTGTGTGTGCACCATACTGCTCCAACTGGAGTAGCAGCTCTTAATTGTGTCGTTTATTGAGTAATTACATATGTGGAAATATAAATAAACAATGATTCCTTTGTTCAAGAAAAATTCCGAGTGCTATATATATAGCAGGTGTTTATTGCAAAATTTCATATGTCGCAAGATTATCGATTTTTACACTTGTGTGAAAACAAGAAGTGATGACTAAGCAGTGAAACGTGAAATTTGTATATCATAAATGCAGCTTTAATGTGCTTAAGAAATTACTTCATTTAAAATTATAATTAGAAAAACGACATTCTCATTCAGTTGATAGTTGAAAAGGGTCACAGATATACACTTGATCTCATTCGTTGTGAAAGCAAACGCGTTGTCGTAATCGTCGCCCATAGCGAATTCGATTTTTCACAAGATACCTTTGTACGCAACGCCCCGCCTGTCACCCACTTTGTTGGTGTTTACACAACATGTTTCTCATACTTCATACAAGTTCCTTGTTTTTGTGCGCTAAGTCCTGTGTATACTGAAAATTGTGGCGCAGAAGCATAGCCTTTACGTCGCAACACCTTTCACCCTGCAGTGAGTGGACTTACCCTAATGGGTTAGTGTGTGTGTATAAATCTGTGCACTTTAAGCCGATGTAGGCTCATGCAGCCACTTTAATGCCAACGAATATATGGAGCGGCTGTGTGATTGTGTATTTCACCACTTTGATGTAAATACCTATAGTAATAAGAAGATGTTGTAATACCGTTTGGCGTATTGGGTGGGATGACACCCTACAATATACCGACTTTTAGCTTCTTCGAAAAGCAAGGTTTGCTGCCAAACTTTAGTACTTCCACTTAATCAATATTTAATTATTCATAATTGAGAGATATACGCAGTTTTCAACGAATTTCCTACAAACACATTTTTTTTTTTTTTTAATTAATGTAAATTTTTAACGTCCTTTTAATTTAGAAACTTATTTTATTTTCAGTGGTTCGAATAAGGTTGAAGATGCCATCGAATGTTACCAACGCGCCGGCAATATGTTCAAAATGTCCAAAAATTGGGCTAAAGCTGGCGAATGCTTCTGTGAGGTAGCCAACTTGCATTCACGTGCTGCTAGTCGTCATGATGCCGGTGTGGCATATGTAGATGCCTCCAACTGCTATAAGAAAGTAAGTGCATATAGAAACTCAAAATTGTGAATTTTGTTAACCAAACTGTTAACAATTTACAGATTGATGTCGAGAGCGCTGTCTCCTGCCTACTTAAAGCGATTGACATCTACACCGATATGGGACGCTTTACCATGGCAGCAAAGCATCACCAGAGCATTGCTGAAATGTATGAGAGCGACCCAGGAACGCTGGTAGGTCACAAAAAATTATTATTCTATTTGCTTACATTGTATGCGTGTATTAACTTAACATAACCACACAGGCCAAAGCTGTACAGCACTATGAACAAGCTGCTGATTACTTTAAGGGCGAAGAATCGGTGAGTTCAGCCAATAAGTGTATGTTGAAGGTAGCTCAATATGCCGCACAGTTGGAGGATTACGAAAAAGCCATAAACATATATGAGCAGGTGAGTTATGCTTTTATATATTTATTTGGGGTACTCACAACGTGTCGTACTAGTTTAAAAAGTTTGTTGTTGGATTGCATACTAACATAAGTTTACGCAAATACAACTCTCAACGCTATGCTTTCGGATCGTTATAACTTATAACTTTTTTATTTTAACAATTGCTTTTACTTGCTGTTTAGGTGGCAGCTTCATCGCTGGAAAGTTCACTGCTCAAATATAGCGCTAAAGAGTATTTCTTCCGTGCTGCATTATGTCATCTGAGTGTGGATCTGTTGAATGCTCAACATGCTATTGAAAAATATGCACAGCAATATCCAGCATTCCAAGATTCGCGTGAATTCAAGCTCATTAAGGTGGGTTTAAATCATTTTTTTTAGTTGTTAAAACAGAAGGAGATGTCAGAGATCCTAGATAATATACATATAAATAATAAGCGTGTCGAGCTGAGTCGATTTAACCAAGTCCGTCTGTCTGTCTGTATACACTCAGTTTTTGAAATATCTAACTGAAACTTTAGACACAATAACTTTTCTAGTTTTTCATATTTTTATACATTTTGCAATATTTAAATATTTTTTATACGTATGTATATAATTGTGTTAACATGTTTTTCTTCCACACATATTAGGTGCTTTGCGAACACTTGGAAGAGCAAAACATCGAAGGCTTCACAGAAGCGGTCAAAGATTACGATAGCATTTCACGTCTGGACCAGTGGTATACCACAATATTGCTTAGAATTAAGAAAGCAGCCGATGAGGATCCCGATTTACGATAAATTTATCATTAATATTATTAATTATATACAAAAAAAACAAAGAAAAGAAAATAATATTATTCCAAATAGTAAACGTATATGAAAAAAGAAGCATAAAACTTAAACGTAACTTTTTAAATTCCACATTCACTTGTCGAATATTCAATAGTTATACATACTACATATATATATATAAATACTTTATTTTTGAAACGTACTAAAGTAATCCCAGTTAATTAACAAAATAAAACCAAACCCGATTTTATTTTATTTAAACAGTTGAATAAACAAAACTTCATACACACACAGCTTTTCTTTAAACAAAATCAGTACAATAACAAGAACCACTACACACACACAACTAGACCACAATCTACAGCAGACAGTAACAAATGCTAATGTTTCGTATAACATAACGGAAAAATAATCAACATTATTACTATTATTAACATAATGGAATGGAAGCAATACTAGCTTCTTAATACCGAAAAAACAAAAATAAACATATTTTATTTTAAAATTTCATATTGTGTAATACAAAAATGTTTAATAGCTAACACTAAGAATTGCCTTGCGACAATATGTGTAGTTAGCAGAATTTAAATTGTATGGAAAATGGAATTTTTGCATAACTACCAAGCGCTACAGCTGCGCTAAGCGTTGGCAAACAATGATAGACAAGTGAAATGTTGAATAGAATGTGCGCTAAAACAATAAAATTGTTATAAAATAATTGTGAGAAATTACTGCTCTTACTAACGACGTATGTACAATACAAATGTGGCATAAAAATGCATGTGAAAGTGAGCAAAGCAACTAACGAACATGCAACGCTGACAAAAATATGCAGGAATTTGAAGAAAATGAAGAAATGTGAACTAATTGGCTAGTGCGGTGCGGCGTATGAATGAATGGAAATGCAAACATGCTTGAAATATGCTGTTATATACAATTTAATTGTGTTTTATATTATATAATATATATTGAAATGCGTTCTCGTTTATGGCATATTTTTTGTATTCAAACTCGGTTATATGCACGAACTGTTTGTGTTGGCTGTAAATATAATTTTTATATAAT